TTAAAAAATCCGAAAAACGTTAAAATTTTTATAATTCCATATCGTTCTTTGGAACTTAGCAATTTTATTGCAAAGCACCACAATAAAAGTGTTATACCACAGGATTAAAACTGTTATACTGTTGTAAATTCATCAAAACACACATCCAAAGTGACAGGAAGTGACCTTTTATTCATTTTATACACTTTTATTAATTCTCTGGAACTCTTAGAAAAATTAAAGAGTCTATTTTCTCTAGTTAAATAGTATAAAATAAGTTGAAATTTAACTTCAAAGTCTAGTGTGGCATTTCGCTTTCCAAGCTCCGACTATCTTTTATGGTGCTAATTAAAATATTCAAACAATTTTCCCATGCATGCAATAAGTATTTTCTTCATTTAAGCAACTCTTATACTGATCTTATATGCATAGAAAAATGAAGTAGGTATGCCCAGTAATTTGCATTTTGGCATTTTTGCGTACACATATTTCCACCTACAGAAGCTAGCATAGAACCCTGAGTTTCCAATGCAAAACTTCTGTACAAGCATATTCTTTCTCTTATTCTCTCCGTAAGTAGAGAAAATATCATCACTGCAACATTTATTTGCATGCGCACACTATAAACGAATCTAAACCGTTATTATGAGTCGTATACTACTCTTATATTATTCTTACACAACTCTTATACAACTCTCATATCATGTTTTTACCATTTTTTTTTTCAATTTTCGTTAAAAATAATACGTTTTACAAGTCTTATAACTTCAATTTGCACTGTTTTCACTTCAAACTTTAAATATTTTATTACATTTCCAAAATTTTGTGTAGAGATTGAAGGTGATGCATTGAAAAAAATTATTAATCTGCTTCTCTGCATATACAACTGTTATATTGTGGCCGATCATAGTTTGCATAGAAACTGCACGTAGTTGAATACAATTTCAATTATATTTTGATTTAAAATTAAATTTTGTAAAAATTTTTTTTTTCTTTTGTTATTTTTTCAACCACATCTGAAACGAAAACAAAACAAACAAACGATTTTTTTGCCAAATATAAACATTTACACCCAAACACACATACACACGCACGAATAAAAACAATTAAACAAATTAACCGACATGAAACTATATAAAACAACAACTAAAGATGTCACTAAAGATGTAAATAAGGAACGAAGATATTTACCCGGTTGGATGTGGAATATAGCTCGTTCTTGGTTCTAAATGTAGAACAGTCCGCCGCCGCCAAGCAATACGAACGAATATTTTTCACCCAGTGTTTCGTAGTCTAATATAAGGCCAACAAGAGAAAAAAAGAAATGGAAATAGCGTGATATTCCTGCAATTAGTCCCCGACCAGTTTGTGTAAATAATTTAACAAACGACAACTCAAAACTTGCTGTTCATGTATTTATAACAAACAAAAAAAAAAAACAAAAAACGATAATCAAGACGAGACATCTGTAATAATAATGTAAAATAATGAAAACACACAACTTCATCAAATCATCATCAAAGCCCGTATTTGTCATTTGTCCATTGCGTCCTGAGCGCGTGTGTGTGCGTTTGCCCGCCTGCCCTTTCTCTCTCTCTCACAATATATCGCTTACTATGCTGCTTATGCTGTAAGGCATCATTACCACTCTGTTGTAAAGGAAACTATTGCCCCAAGGGGTCACCGAGCTAAATGCAATAGTTTCTTGTCCAAGTCTTTGCCATATCTTCGAACCACAACTGCCTAGCAAACCAACTACCAACCAAAACAGCAAAACACATTTCGAAAAGAGTACGTTTTATTTTGTTTTTCTTTTTCATAATTTTTTGAGATTTTCTTGATTCATTGAAGTTCGGTTTAGTGTAAAAAAATTATATTTATTTATTTTTGTATATTATTTAAAAAAAAGTTATTAATTTTTATTATTATAAAAAATTATTTTTATTTTTTTTTTATTTTCCATATTTATTAATAACAGGTGGTTTATCACACAATTGTAAATTTCTACTCATTAAATTTTATTTTAATATATTTTTTGTATATAATCAAAAGCAATCATAATCTAACTAATTTGAAGAGAAGATTGAAAATTAATTTTAAAATTTTGTTAACTCTGTACAAAAGACAACAAACTTATGAATAACATTGAGCGTGGCGTATGCGTTATATGTTGAACTATGAATATTAATCATACGCATCTTGGGTTATTTTTGTTAATCATACGCTATGTGGTGTTTGGATAATTTCTTTCAAATCATAGCCAAAAATTTGAAAAAAAGATACTAAAATAGAAATGAATGAAAAAAAAATATTAATTATAGTTCAATGGGAATATAGAGGTCCCAAAAATCGCTCAGAATTTCAACAATTCCCAAAAATTATACTCATATCTTTCAGATAAATGGTCTGTTCCAGAACTGCAAGAATGTAATTTTTTTTAAACAATAACCGATTTTTCCCTTACGATATCGAAGAAAATTTCAAAACTATTAGATTCTTGTAGGTACTGGAACATAGCAACATTTACGTAAGTACTTGATATTGTCCAAACCGGACTCGTCGTAATATTTATATCACACTCAGGTCTGCCTCCCATAGAGCAAACATTTCTAAGATTCACATGCCTTTTGGTAGTGAGTAGAACTTTGAAATTATAGTTAATTTCATTCTCTTTTAAAAGCGGGAGTGGGAGTAGTCCATCGAGAAAAAGAGAAGAGAAGAAGAGAAATCCTCACGAATTTGTTCTAAATTATTTGGCTTAAAAATTTCAAAGCCCGGAAGATATGGAATCTGAGGGTTTCATGTAATCCAAAAAGTAGTAACTCCAAACACGTGGCCCCATAACATCCGGGCAGGAAAACAATGCATCGGCAAGGTCCTCTTTAGATATCAAAATCTTTTCAGAATGCCACATTTCAAAGATAAAGAGTGAAAATTGTTCAAATTCAAGCGGAACTCTACTACGAGTAAAAAATAGAAATCGAGCAAAGTCTATTCTGGCGCCACTTAAATAAGAATGAATATGCTTGGCTCGATTTCGAGTGGGAGTAAAATTACAGTGGAGTGTAAATTTTTATAAAACTCATGCAATTTGAAATCGAGTGTACTCTATTTTTTGTATCACTCAAATATGAACGAATATGCTTTGCTCGTTTTAAAATAAAATTAAAATTCGAATGGAGAGTAAACTTTTATAAACCCATACAATTTGAGTACTTTCGATCGTGAGTATATTTTTATCACTCGCGAGTAAAATCGTGCACGTCGATCATGGCCGAGCAGAGAATCGCCCGGTTCTCCCAATTTCTTTTCATTATGATTACATTTTTTCAATGCGTCCGATTGTGAGTGTGTTGAAAATGATCGTTCGAATTCGAGTAACAGTGAAAATCGATCAAACTCACAACGAGTAAGAAAAGAGAATCGAGTATATTCTATTTTTGATGTCATGTCAAACGAATATGCTTTGTTCATTCCAATCGAGTAAATTTTTATAAACTCATGAAATTTTGAGTACATTCGCTTATGAGTATTTTTTACTCACGAGTAAAATCAAGCACGCCGATCAGGTCCGGGCATAGTTCTACCAATTTCCTTACTCCCTGATTATATTTTTTTAATGGGTGTGATTGTGAGTGAGAATTATTTTCATTGAAGTCAGGCGTAGCTGCATATTCTTGGCCCTGCTGCCCTAGATGGAATTTTTATTAAAAATATTAACATAGATGGTCTCTTTGGCAGTTTTTTAGGCTTGCGACTGTCGAAAAGTTGTAAACGTCGAAAACGGCATATACCTGTGTAAAATGTAGAAAACGTCATAAACTTATAAAATAATGTAATAACTCACATTTAGATAGTATTATTGAAACCTGGCCGATGATGGTTTCCTTGTGATGATAGTTTCCTTGTGTAAATTGTAAATCAGAGAGCTTAAAACCTGAGACTGTATTTCTGTTCTATGAAAATATGAAATGAAAAATAATTTCTCTATAAAAAATTCATTTGAAATCTTCGCCCTTATTAAAGTTTTTATTTCATAGATTAGGAATCGAGATATTCAATCAACCTGTTTCGGCCTAAAACCCTTAATATTTATCCAGGTTTACGACTTCCTCAACGTGTGTCTTATGCGTCGAAAAAGTATGTCATATACATCACAATTCAAAATCCAACCCATTATGAAAGTAGAGTTAAAAATGAAAGACCCGCTTATTGTTTTAAAAATGTTCTTCTCCAAGTCAACTAAGTAGAGGGCGCAAGTTTGAATTGACATTTACACCAAATTTTAAAATCAGCAGAGAAAGTTTTCACCTACTTAGAACACAATATGCCAAATTTTTCAGGGATCGAAAAACAAAAGACCACCTCTGAATGTAGACCAATTTAGCCTAACTTTAATGCCACTAATTTTAGGCATTAACTTGAATATGTTTATATCCCCACCCCATCTTCTGTTTTTTGGTGGGTAAAAAAAACGAATTTCGAATTGGGACAAATTTCAAAACAAATAAATGCAACACTAAATATTTCATTTCGGACATAAAAATCACTTCAATTCCACCAGAAATTTGTTACAAAATTGTAATTGAAATATTTATTTCGATTTTATTTGTAATTTCGTTTTATTTGCATTGTTAAAAAAAACACAAAAAAACTTAATGGCTTTTTTAATTGTTATTTCAATTGGTCTTTCGTTTTTAATTACATGATTCGATTTTTAGACCCCCTGGTTTTATGATTTTTATGGACTATTGTGTGATAAACCAGCAAATGGATCATAATATTTATTTGTATATTTAATTTTTTTATATCTACAATTTGTTTACATTCACAAGTATTTTGTATTGTTATTATACTTCTTCTTCTTTCACTTGAAAATGCAACTTTTTATTATTTACAAAATTTCACACAGTTTCAATTCAATCATAAATTCGATTTTGAATGTTTTGCCATTTGAAAAAAAATATTTATTTACAAATTTCTGTTTTCTTTTCGTTTCTTCCTCTTCCGCCCCCCTGCAGGTGTTGATGATCATCAAGCCCACGATGAAGCCTCCGAAGCCGATCGTTCTGTCATGTCCAATTCAGCGGAATCGATAAACATTGGTGCACCGATTTTGGCAACGCTTGCCATGTTCTTGATAACGAAATTCATTGTTAGCTAAAAGCAAATTTTTTCGGGTATTTTTATTATCATCCTCATTATTGTTGTTGCTGTTTTTGTGGATGAAGATGATGGTGGTGGTCGAGTATCCATCATGCATTGTTGCGTTGTTATGTAAGCAAATCTAGGAAACATAAAATAAGAAGCAAGCAAGAAAGAAAGAAAAACATAAATACATACATAGATAATAATACATTCATCAGTGCAAGCGAAAGGAAACCCAAAAACCATTGACGAAAAAAGCAAATATTATGTAAACTGTAAATATTTAAAAACAACAACAAACAAAATCAGAAATATGGCAAACAAGTGGAAATAAAATTCAGAATTTTATTAAAAAAAAAATATTCTATTTTAATTTTTTTAATTTGAATAATATGAAATAGATTCTGGAAAACCTGCTGAAAAATGGAAGATATTTAAATATATTTTTAGAAAAGTTTGTAATATTTTTTAGATTTTCATTTTTTTATTTTAATTGTCTTAAATACTTCTCAAAAAAATTCCATGTAACTTTTTTTAAATTTTTAAAAAATTAATTATTTTCATTTTTTGTGGAATTTTGAAATTTGGAAAATTATAATTTTTGAAAAAAAGGTAGTTAAAGTTTCCTCTATTTCTGCTCACACGTGCAATTACAAATAATTTTTTATTTAAAAATATTTTTTCATTGAATATTTTGTAGAAAAAAAATATGTTTTTATGAATAATAAAAAAATATATATATTTTTTTAAATATTATTTATTAAAAATATTTTTTATTAAATATTTTTTTAATAAAAAATACTTTTTTTGGTAGAATTTGGGAAAATTTAATTTTAGAAAAAAATGGTATTAAAAATCGGCTCACTTGTGTAAGTTTTAAAAATTAACAAAACATTTTTTTTTTTGAAATATTTTTTTTATTTTTTTGTTAAATATTCTGTAGAAAAAATATTTTTTTTTGGATAAAAAAAAATATATTTTTTAAATATATTTTTTTATAAATATTATTTATTAAAAAATATTTTTATTTAATTTTTTTTAAAACTTTTTTTTTTGGGGAAAAATTAATTTTTAAATAAATCTTTTGCTCACAAAAAATTCCGTGTGATTTTTTTAAACAATTAATTACTTGTTAGTTTTTGTGGAATTTTAAAATTGGAAAATTATAATTTATAAAAATGCTATTTAAAATTCTGCTCATTTGTGTAATTTTTTGTTATAAAAACAAGGAATTTACAAAAAATTTAATTTTTTTCAAACATTTTTTAAGAAATATTTTTAATATTTTTTAAAAAACAATATAAAATATTAAATAAATTACATGTGGGCAGATTAGAGGCAAAAAATTTGGTTAGGCAAAAAATATTTTTTTCCAAAGTTTTTTTTTTTTAATTGATTCTAAATAAAAAAAGTTTCCTTTTGCACTTTCTTGTAAAAATCTTAAAATTGGTGCCTTAACCCATAAAATCTACCACCAGAATGAGAGAAAAAACAGAATTGGACAAACGTCATAGCGCATATTTAAAACAATACGAAGTCAGTTAGTCATATACGAATAAGAACATAAAGTGACTTCTTTATATATAATTATAAAAACATGTTAAATTTTAATAGGCACTATAATGTAAATATATAACACTTTTTTACGATAATTATAATTAAACAATTTATTATTACTACATCAGTTTTTGCAAAAAAAATTAACATTCCCACTTTCTTAAAAAATCACATCACCATCGAAGAAAAAACATATCTAAATTTTCCGAATCTTATATGAAACAATTCAATTCAAAATAATTTTTATAATATAATGAAAAAAGCGAAAAATAAACTGTTGTATAGCTTTAGACTTTTTTAAAGAAAAAAAATCGTAGTTAAGCTTTAAAACATAATCATTTAATAGTTTTTAAGTTTATTATTTCCTTTTCTCTAAAAAAAAATTGCAAAGAATTTTTTTCAAAAGATTGTTTTTTGTTTTAATATGTATTTTTTTTTAAATATAACTAGAAAAACAAAAACCTTGCACAAAATATGATCTTTGTAAAATAGCTTGTAATTATAATATTTAAAACATTTTTGTTAATTTAATTCCCCGTTGAAGTAGCGAAAACCACGTGAACGTCAAGAAAATGTCATTGGCATTGTGTTTTTTTTTTTATTTTTAAATTTTTTAATTTTGTTTATGTATAATTGCCAAACACAGTTCTCATTTTCGTCGCAATTTTTATTGTCGGAATTAATATTTAACTCCGAATATTATTATTGTATTCATGTATTTTTTATTATTATTTTTTTTTTATTTTATAATCCGCTCTTTTTTTGTAACGAATAATCTAAATAATTTTAAATTATAATTGTGTATAATAATAAAAAACAACAACAAAATATTAAAAATATCATACAAAATGTATTGCAAAACGAAAAATGGAACAAAAAAAAAATAAAGAAAAAATATTTGAAAAAAAATACATAAATGGTCTTTGATTTGAAAATGTTATTGAAAAGAAAATGTACAAAAAATATTTAAATACAATTTTGATGGGATGGACATTGTTTCTCTAATTTTCTTTATGGCATTCCTTAAAAACCGTTTAGATCTGTTAGAAATAAAACACAAGTTTTGGGAAATATAGGTATTTGTGAAAGATTTTTTATTTGTATTTACAATTACATAAATTAGGCTTTTTATTATATCTTAAAAAACCAAAACAAAAGGTCAAAAGTCGTGCGGGCCGACTTTATCATACTCTACACTACTATGCACGTTTAGTGGAAATACCCCTAACTTTGTTGCAGTTTTTTTATATTATTTTTTATATCAGAATTTGTCATAATCTATTCGAACAGTAGTATAGAATTCTTAACGCCTATTTAAAACCGAGACAGTTTAAAACTTAAATACCATGCTAAAGCTAGATATATCAAAGCTAGACAAATATATTAAATAATATATACATAGACAAAGAATTTAATAAGATAACGAAAATCAAAATCAAACCTTATAAAAAGAATGAGATACACACAGACGGCACATATTTGAAATAGATATTAATATGTTTTTATTTTCAGTCCTAAAACTTCTAGTTTCTTTGTACAATAATAAAAAATATGGCTTAAAACGTGCTTACATGATATTCGAATCAATTATAATGAATAAAAAACACTTTAAATCTGAGTCTAAACTTTGGTAAAAAAAATGAAAATGTTCCTGATCATATCATAACTCTTCATCAGAATCTGAGTCGAGTAACTTAAACAGACGATCAAGATTATCACCATGGCTGTTCGACTTTTTAGATTCGCCGAAAAATGAATTCTTTTTTGTTGTCCTTAAGTCTGGTGTTGACGTTTCACGTTTGACTTCACCAACTAAGGTTTGAGAACATGGCATGGGTTTAGGAAAGGATGTTGTTTTTGCCGCTTTTCCATTGTCACAAGAAACAATGATGACATCTGAAATGAGATCGAAAGGGAATGTTTGAAAATAAGAATGTTGATAGGAATAAACCTAGAATTTTAACATAGTATCACAATTCTACCACGGAATTTTTGAGATAAAAAAAACAACTTCTACACACATTGTAACCATAATGTCCGTTTGATTCTCGCCCACTATATAGAAAAGTTGCCTTGTGGAAGATTCCCAACAAAAATACTCATTACACATATGGTTACCAACACACTAAAACCAGTAAGGAAACGCCAAAAGGCGGGCGGGGCCGACTATATGATACCCTACACCACTATGTATATTTAGTAGAGCTCCCGTAACAAAAGAATTTATTTGAAGTAGACAATAACACCTATCAGCATTTGGCTTTGGAGCAGTTATAGTTTGATTTCAGAGGGAACTAATTAATATATGGGAGGCATATCCAATTCTGAATCGATTTCCACTAAATTTGACGGTGACATTTTAATCGTTTGTACCAAATAACATTGCTGTAGAGCGCATGATATTACTTCGAAAAGGATTATATTAAAAAATATATATCCGAGCCGAGTTCCACAAAATGGAAACGAAGGTCCTGAAATTCACTCTATTTGGGTTGATATTAGCATTTATGTGACCATAAACCTGAAAACGGATTAAAGATATATATGGAAGCTTACTTCTAGACTTAATTCGGTCTGATGTATTAAAATTCAGGTCATTTGGACTGATATTGGCCATTTGATGCACAATTAACCCGACATCGGTTGAAGCTATATCTAAATCTGAACCGATCTTGATACAATTTGGCAGAGGTATTTCTGGTCTGTATATGATATCTGGTACCAAATATCATTGTTGTCGAATGCATATTATGAATGTGAGGGTCTTAAACACCAAATCGGATGAAACATATATATGGGAGCTATAGCTATATTTGAATCAATTTTCACCAAATTAAGTGTACTTGCTTCTATACTGAATTCGGTCCAACAAATCCACTTACCATCATCGTCATCGCTTCCATCATCTGTACAATCTATAATATCATTGGAAATAGTAGCTTTTGTAGATTTCCTTCCTTGGTCAATATTCCTTTGCGTTGTACAGCTATTTTTATGAATCCCTTTGCTCCGATGTGTTGGCTTTTTAATATTTGTCTCCTTTCTTGATATGGTTTCTGTGGGCTTTTCCCTACTTTCATTACTTTTCTTCTTAATAGCTGTCGTAGGTAAAAGAAAGAGATCTTCTGTTTCACGTTCAGTTTTTATAACAACTACCGTTGTTTTGTCGTCATCATCATCCCATGTCAAATCGCAAAAACCCAATGATTTGGAACGGGAATTTAAGGCATTGTCGGCAGGTACTAGATCATCATCTTCCACAGGTCTTTCCACTCGCGTATTCCTTTGTGGTGTTTTGCTTTCTTTTTTAGATTGAGTCCCTCTGCTGAATGTTGTTGATTTATTACTATTTGCCTTATCCTTTAAGATGTTTGATTTCAGCTCTTTTTTATCCACTTTGTTAGACCTTGTGAGCATTTTGGAATCTTTCTGCCTAGCTCCGGCATCAACATCCCATTCTTCTTTAATTTGTAAGGGATTCAGTAAAACATTACTCTGCAAAGGTGTACTAGGAACTGAAAATGCATTTGGTGGCACAATATCATCGTCATCATCCTCGTTATTTTCAGAGTGATTGCTATTGCTTTTTGGTTTCATCGATTGGGAATTATTAATTACTGACTCTTCATCCTCCGACTTAATATTTATGGCAGATAAAAATGCATCATCAGAATCTATTGTCAGGATATCATTGTCAATTGCATCTTCTAAGCATTCTTGTTTGATCTGGGTTTCAGTGTCTTGTTGAATATTTGAAATAAAATTTCCCCTAGATTTTGTTGAGTCACTTTGTGTCCTTAAAGTTCCAACTAACGTTAGATCTTCATCTGCATTTTTCTCCAACTTAACTTCGTTGGGAGTTTCTTTTTCCTTAGACATTGATTTTGCTAATTGTTTATTTTCTACAATTCTCAATTTCTTTGTAGGTGGCGGATGTCGATCACTACCTTCATCGCCACTATCATGACTACTTTCACATAAGCGTAGGAAATAATTCAAATCACAGCTGGAATTACTATTCTCTGAGGCTATTGAATTTATGTCCTCATTTGCAGAGTTAATATGAGTTGATGATTTCTCATTGTGACTACTTCCACACACCGAATAGAATTCATAATCTTCATCAAATCTAGATGGTTCCTCTTTTATACGAAGATTGCAATTTGCTTCAAGTGTTTCCACATTGTTTGCCACCATATCATCCTCGGCATTGTGTTCCGATTTAATATTTTCCATTTCAATATTGGGGACCATAGTTTGATTTATATTATCTGTAAGAGGAAAATAACATAATTTAACAAAATCTATTTTTTGTTTTACAATTGGCCTTACCCTGATGGAGATTTTGCAGCTGTTCCGTTTCTTTATTCGCACAATTTTTATTATTTGTTATGCATTCGCCGCTCCTTGCTTCATTATCTGTAATAAACGAATATGTTAATATGTAATCGTAAATATGAAAGCTATTTTTAGAAGCGAAGAGGTGCTTGCAGCCAATTTGGCTTGTGTGATTGTTGGCATATGAAAACTTTTGCGACATTTAATGGTAAGAACCATAAAAATGGATTAAATAAATGTGGCGAAGAGTTGATGCTCCAAAACTAATCAATCAATTCTCTTATAATTAAGAATAAAGACACAGCGTCCTAATACAGTTACAGTCAAACGCAGGGGCAATATTGATACCTAGGCGCTTCAAAAGGGGTGCGTCGAAGTTAACAAGACCTTGCCATGGGAGTGGCCGAATATTACATGGTTGACAAAAATAAATATGGAAATTCAACGCTCTCCACTCATAATTAAATTTCTCAGTAAGAGTTTATAAAATGCTGTCTGGGACCATTGTCTTGAAAATATTGCTATTTTGTTGATTTAGAGACAGATACAGTATATAATTATAAATATATCTTACCTATATCACTGCCAAAGTTTGTGGAACAACCACTACCTGGCTCAGTACCGGACTCTTTGCGATTTTCATCCCTTTCCATATCAATGTCCAACGAGATATTGTTTTCAATCGAAGAGCATTCTTTTTCGCCTTCACATTCAATATTTAAATTACTTCCCGAATTGTTTGTTTCGTTTTGATTCTCTGTGAACGGTGCGTAATCAACAGTGTGATTTTTAATGGGCTGAACTACACTAGCCGCAGTTTGTTTGCTTAATTCCATATCAGCGACTTGATCATCAACTATATTATCATTTTTCAATGTTGGTTGAACAACAGAATCTGTATTTTCGGATGTTAATGTTCGGGAAGTAGGGGAACAGATATTTAAATCATTCTCTGTAATCTGTGTGGAATCTAATTGATTTCCCCCAAGACTTTCTAGTGTTTGAGAACTATCAGAACATGGGCTGGCATCAGTTTCACATCTGCTTTCAATTTGCTTGGATACTTCAATCGAATCGGGTTCTTTTAATTCCTTATCAGTCACATCATCAACATTTTCTTCTACATTCAAAGAATCATTAGAATCCAAAATCTTTGCATTGGATGTTTGATGTTGATCTAATGTTTCATTCTCCGAAACTGTTGTGGATTCATTTTGCTGTTTCACAGCAAAATCTGTTTTTGAACAATTTAATTGTGCATTTAAATCAGTGTCTCTTGTGTTTTCAATTAGTGATGTAGATTTATTTATTTGACCCGCATTGAATACTTTGTCAACATCATGGTTAGTATTTAAATATTCTGTTGAGGCCTGATCTTCACTGGGTTCGGAAGAAGTTGTTGTTTGATAAGCAATTGTACATGTATTTAAATGAGCATCTAAACTTGTCGATGATTCTGTTGTATTTTCTTTTACAATGTCTATCGTTTTGTTATTTAATTGTGGATTTAAATATGGATCTTCATCGGCTCTAAAATTGACAGAATTATTCATTTCATTGTTATTTAACAAAGAGATATCCTCCTCTCTTTCCGGAATAAATTCATTTCTTGGTGACGTAGAATTTGATTGAATATCTTCCTCTCTTTCCGGAATAAATTCATTTCTTGGTGCTGTAGAATTTGATTGAAAATCTTCCGAGCTTTGATTTTCTTTTTCTTGAGCAACTTTAATAATCGTTGATGTGATGCTCATTTCACTTTCAATAGCCTCACTTTGTTCCGTTTCCTTTTGATCAACTACACTCTTGGGTAATGCAACATCATCATTGTTTAGCTGCGATAATTGTGAGATACTTTCTCCTTCTCTTGTTGTAGTTAATTCCTTTTCTATTGGCTCATTATTCACATTAGCTATTACAGTTCCAGATATTACGGAGTGTAACGAACCATCACTTATCGTACTAAAAGCATCAGCATTGGTTTCATCCTCATGCAAAGTATTATCCAAAATATCTTCTTTTGAAACTGAATCGAAACGGCGAAAACGTATGATCAAGGAACGACCCTCAATCTCAGTATTTACCATGTTTCGATAGGCAGCTATGGCATCGGCAACATTATGATAACGTATAAAGGCATAACGGGTACTTTTCAAACGTTGAGCGTATCCAATGTCTATACGTGCTGAACCGGGAAATTTTTCCTTTAAAACTTTGCACATCACTGTTGGCGACAAATTACCCACATACAATGTGTATGGATCAATGTTGTCTATAATTTTTTTGTTTTCGTGGTCATTCGGTTTTATTATCTTGCGTATCTCAGCAGAAACAAAGCCATTACCAAATGGAATTTTGGAAATTGTATTCATAACTTCCTGGACATCAACACCTTCCTTGAGGTAAACAAAACAATAGCGCGGCGCTGAATTTTGATGAAAATGTACCGAATCTATGGCGTCGCTATAGTTTTGAACTATTTCACGATTAAGTGGAGGATCGGGAAAACGTAAATGCAATACTGTTTCTTTGCTGTAATCTTTGGACAATTCTTCTTCTGTCTTGAGCGCCAATTGGGCATCTTCAAAATTCCAATCGTTTTTGGCATTTTTGGACAAGGCAAGTTTTCTTCTTTTGTTTTTTAGTTTTATTTTAGTAACGGCAACTGCAAAGAAAAACATAAATTAAATAAAAAATTAATTTATTTTAAAATTTAAATTTTACCTTTGGCCACCTCCTGACTTGATTTTGGTTGATTGACTTCCTGCAAAATTGCTGCTTTTGTGGAATCGCAATGACTATTGTTTACTTTGGTTTTGTCCACACTCATTTTTCCTTGGTTTTCTACCTCTTGAGGCAGTTCTTTTGCCCCAGCGACAGGGTCTTTATCTATTTTAGATTTATCCAAACTAGTTTTACCCATATTCGTGTTTGGTTTTTTATGCTTGTCTGGACACAGTTTTTCTGTTGCCGCGGTAGGTTCTTGACTTATTTTGGATTTGTCCACACTCGTTTTTGGTTGATTGTCTCCCTCTAAAGATGTGGGTTTTGTTCCATCACAATGGTCACCATTGGCAATTAAGGATCCTACAGTATCTATTTTCTCCGTTTCTTCTTCCGCTGGTAATGGTGGTAGCGGTGGAGCCTCAGGTGTGGGTGGCAATGGCGGAGGTGTATTTAGGGGAGGTGGTGGCTGACTCAGTAAAGCTGCCGAAGGCAAGGCATACTGTGATGGAACATCTAGTTGTGTTGAAACACTTTGAGGTTTAGCAGTTAAAACCTGCAATAAATACTCCTGAACTGCAGCATTTAAAGGGGATGGTTGTGTCTTGGGCTTGTATTTTTTCTCTGGCGAGGATTTTTTCGATTTTGTGGTACTGGATTTGCTTTTTTCAGAGATTTTCTTTTGCTTAACATTCTTCCTGACATTGTGAGAATTTGGTATAGTGTTCGTCTGATTATGCAAAAGCTTTTTGGGCGATCCTTCTGCATGAGACGATGAAGCTTCATTAGATGGGGAATCTGGTGGAGGATATGGCGGCGTCCTTGGACCTTTCGGCACTGTGGAATTTGATGTCAATATTGATAGGTTTCTTGGTGGAGATCTAACAGACCTAACATTGGGGGAGAAATTCCGATAGCTGTTGGTTTTTGGTGGATATGGTGAGGTCTTTAGTTTCGGATCTGTGCCAACCGGTGGATTCCGCGGCAACTTTCTATGATTCCACAGAGGAGCTTGGGATGATTTAAATCTAGGCGAGAAATTCCGATTGTTGCTGGTGTTGTTTTGTGCACGGAAGCGCATATTTTGGTTTGAGGACGGGAACCGGTTTGACATAAAGGTGTTGCCTTGATAATGTTGTGGGTGTTGGGAAAAACTGTTGTCAAACGCCATCGAATTATTTGATCCCCCAAAACGAACACCCCTTTGTGCATAATTAAAAGCCATACCAGAGTTTTGGGAATTTCTATTATTAGAAAAGTAAGGTCTTCCACCGCCGGATGACGATGATGGCCAGCAAGGCGGATATTGATTGTGCTGATTCATTTTAAACAGCTTTTCTCCCTGTCAATCAATCCAATGAAGAGTCTGGGTAGAGTCTATTATTTTCCAGTAGCGTTTTGTCGAAACATTGTTGGGATTTCCTTGAATTTGTGTGGCTATAATACTTTAAGAGTACTGATAGAACTTATTCTGTATATATTTTAAAGCAACAAGTCACCAAACAAATTCTAAACATATATTAAATACAGTCCTCTTGGAGATTCCAAATCAATAACTGCAACAAGTTTAGAAAACGTAAAAAGTTGAGTTAATTAACGAATTGTTCTATATGAGCAAATGTACAGATGTTGATTTACCCAGAACTGCATCATTGTAATCCAGTCGATCTGCTGCCACTTCTTGGACAACGACGCTTCATTCATTCCATCCAATGCTGGGAATCAGGCATGAGTCCAGAGTCGGGACGTTTAACAACAGATGCTGCCGAAACAGAAATAAAATGAAGACACTGCGACATGGCAACTCTGAAACTAAAGACGACACAGAAAGATATCTGAATAAATGTGTGGAATCAAAACAGAGTGGCCGATAGCATTGTTGTTCCTTAGATCGAAAACGTAATCGACACACCAACATAAAAAACGTCCCCGGCGAAACGAAAAAAAAAACATGTCTGATAACAAATAAACTGAAAGCAAAATCCATGGCAGAAGTATACAGGTAGATGCATCAACGCTTGGGAGCATTGATATGTCAAAAAATTTTAAATGTTTTTTTTTTAATATAAGTAGATTTATATATTTTTTCTTATACGACGTCATTCGGAGGTTATTATAATTCGTGTTTTTCAACAATGTTTATAAATTTAAAAAATTTTTCATTCAACATTTTCAATTCCAAAATTGGTTTGACAGTTCATTGTCTCAGCAGCTGTGTCGATGCGTCTACCTATACTCTTCTACCATGGCAAAATCTCTGCGCTTCATTTTTTGAATACAGTTTTAAATGAAACCATCGATTAAATCCACAAATTAGTTATAAAAATTGTCATCGAAGAAAAAAGATCTGAGTGATATACAGATAAAAATAAAAATATATTTTGATAATAGCGGCTGTCATCATCGACATCAAATATATCTGAATCTGAACCAGTTAACCAACGGTTAAACGCCTGACTCTCTTAATTCCTTTTCACTATTTATCCAAAATCAATGGGTTAACATAATCGTATGCAAAATTCTATAATTTATTAATAAATGTTTTACCTCTCACGGTTGTCCATATATTTAGATTAATTCATGGTACAATGAAATCAAGGAAGGGCAGAACCATGGTACAATGATATCAAGGTAGGGCTATGATGCCATATGATTTTAATTTGTTTATTTTCTTGGCTTAATATTTCATTTTTATTTGTTTATGTATGTGTTTTCTTTTCAATAACAAAAAAAAAATGTTCAGAAAATATTCAACTTCGGATGTTTTCAAAATGTTTATTTCAACGTATGCATCCACAAAATCTAGAGGTTTTGTAGCGAAATAATCCTTTAGAGATAGTACATGATTTTGAAAATAATTGTTGACCTTTCATTCAGTTATCGCGGTTTTCAATTATTTATTCAAAATAATTGCAACAAGTTGTTTGATTTTTTATTGTTTTGATACTAATTTTGACATTACAAGCCAAACAGGTAGACCTCTATATTTACAATTTTTTCAAAGTTGGTAGGTCAACTTCATTATACCATGGGCAGAACTTTCTTATTTCAACGTGTGCAAGGAAAAAAATCAATTTTTGTAGAGTTTTCTCTTTTTTTCATTACTTATTCGAAAGCAGTGCAACTACTTGCATTTATTTTGGTAGTAATTCTGACATTGCAATCCTTACAGGATTACAATCATTACGTGCAACTTTTTCCAAGTCTGCGTACCTTGTTTTTATTGTACGTACCATGGATTAATTCTGTTTAATTGCAATTTATTTGATTATTCATTTTTAACCCATTGTGACAAAGAAACGCAAAACGCTATGCGTCCTCATTGTATTTACCACATCTACTATTGAAGAACAGCTGTTCAATGCAAAATGTAAACAAACCCCTCGACGCATAACCTCAATCCACTCCCGGGACACTCTCTTAGGGAAAAGAAAGACAGTTGGTTTCCTCTCACATAACAATGTCGGCGTTTTTAAAAATAACGAAACAACTTCCAAGTGCAACAAAATGTTTATCGCGGAGGATAGACTTAATAAATTTGCAACAAATAAGAAACGTTAGTAGTCTGCCGCGTTCAGCAACATCACAAGCCAAAGAACAACAATATATGAAAAACGACCGGGTTCCTCCAAATTACAGCCTTATCTATCGGACGGCAATGGAGAATTATATTGCCTGGTCAATGCACGTCTCGAGTTTGACAGCGGCTGTGATTGGTGGTGCTGCAATCTATCAATATGCCAGTAAGACACCCTTAATGGACCCTCAGCTGGTGGAGACCACCTTGGTAATGCACACTGAGGATATTTATGTGTTTGCACTTGGATTTTTGGCCATTAATGCTGTGCTGCGTTTAGTTGTTTCCAAACTCCCCCTGAGAATATATAAAAACAACGAGGGCAAGTATGTTCTTTACTTCCTGCCAACCAATTTAAGTCTTTTATTTATTTAAGATTGATTTTTCTTTAGATATTTAGCTGTGTATCACTCACAATTTCCTGGCGGTATAACACATCATCACTTCGACCAAGGCGATGTGAGAGAAGTAACATATTTCTTCAGTCCATGGAATGGATCTACATATAAATTGGGCAAGAAAACATCGTTGGTGTTGGAAAATTACTTCAAGACTCCTTGGGAGTTCCAACAAATGCTAACGCCACCAAAGAAAGAGGAATGAGGGCTTGTGGAGAAACGTTTTATTTATGTTATTAGAGTAAGAAAATGTTAATGTTGGTGTTACTGTGGGAAAATGAACATTAATGGATTGGCAAACCTCCATGCTCTGATGTTGAATGATTCTTAAATAGTATGTGAGTAGAATCAATAAAACTATGTTCACAACTGAACTATTAACATCTTAAATAAAATAAAGAAATTAAATTATGGGGAAATATTTGCCCATTGTGTAATGGATTTGCTCATCTTTTATATTTTACATATGGAAATTATGGTACTTTAAACATATGCAATTGATTCTAATTCGGAAAATATTACAGAAGGTTTTTATTTTCAAGAAATATAAAGAATCATTTTCCCTTATAAAATTATTAGTGGTTTTTTGGTACAAGGTGCTTGTAAAAGAGAAACCAATTATGTGAACAATTAGCAATACTTTAAATGGACATAGTATTTTAGTGTCCTATTGAAATTATTATTTCCTCTAGCTTGGTTAACATATATCTTCAATATAGTCCCACTACATACCACCCATAAAATGTTACCCATCTCGGAAGTGTCAAAGTCACATTTTTCCATTGGATGTAGCCACCTTATAATTAGTATTGTTAAGTATCATCCATTCGCTTCAATTTTAATGATATTTTGGCATATTTGGATTTCAGAAGGAATAAATCGTATCACTCAATATTCACTATAACCACATTCAAACGCGCATTTTCATATAAGTACAACTCCAAAGTTGTCCTAATGTGTTCCATAAAATATTTTAATTTAAGACCAAACGGGACAATTTTGATGTTAGTGTAATTATAACAATATAATTTCTAAAGAAATGATTAGAAGAAATGGAGCCCACATTTTAAAAGCCGATCTCGTTACGTACCAATAACTTTTCATTCCTATTCGAACCCAGTAGGCAACATGACGAAATACAAGTCTGTTTCTACGATAAATTTACGATATACATATAATGTTGTTGACAGTCATAATGTGCGTTGTAATACTATATTCCACCAGATGGCGTTGAAAATGTAAACTCCGTTCTGTTTTCCCTTTGAACTTCATTCGTCATAAAGCCATCTATAAATTATTGTCATCCTTTTTTATTTTAAAATATTAAAAAAACAAACGGCAGAAATCCAAGCAAATTTATAACTGTTGTACATGTTCTGCGGGTTTTGCCTTTTAATCATATTCGTAAAATTGTCGTCTCCGATAGACCATATAATGAAATACAACTCTGCATTGTTACGATAAAAATTAACACAACGAAGCGGAAACTTTTTTTTAACGGCGACGTTTTTCGTTGGAAAACCACTCTTTTAGGACCAAGGAAAATAAACATTAAAAAACAACAATTTGAATACATTTTACAAAAATGTTGCCTCTAAATATTGGACCATGCTGTTGGACTTTTACTTTATTTATTATTTTCCTTTGGCGGCGATTTTAAATTGCCAAAAACAACGCCGACAAAATCCCAAAAAGAACGGCGTTAGCGAGCCGCTGCTCTGTAATTCGACTACAATGGACTCCTGTGTTTGCGTGCTCAGTTAGTTTTGTTTTTGATTTTGGTGTTGTTGGTTGTCGTTTTCGGACGGAGTTAGCGCGCGCCACCAGTTTCAGTTCGTGTCGACAGAGAGAGCAAGATCGAGTGATCGCATACATAAAAAACGTTACAAGAAAGAAACTTGTTGCTACTCCATCAACTAAAACCTGATACAAGAGAAAAATAAAAGTAACGAGAAAATAAATTAAATATTGGATTATAAATTAAACGAAATATAAATAAATTAAACGAAATTGTGCCTTTTTAAAAACTAAATCGAGAAATACCTGTAGTTTTTAATCTATTCATCTACGGCGCATTGTTGTTGGTTGCTTTATTGGTAACCACTACAAATGCACAAGCCTACTGCCAGCTATTGTTGAGAGAAAATATCTAAACACACACAAACACGCCGCATATAACAACAATTGGCTTGCATTTACCTAGCTTTTCGGCCATTGTAAAAACGTTGGCATAGATAAGTGTGAGTGAGTGAAGTAAAACCACTATTTTTACCTGGATTTACCTGTTTTCTTGGTGGCTTTGTGTCAATACAGGGTCACCACTACAACGGCAACTGTGAAAGAAACAAAAAAAAAAATACGTTAACAGCAGCAATTCAAGTCGAAATACTCAAGAGCAAGAAACCACCTAACGAAGCAAGAGCAACATCAATTGGTTTCAATTAAAAAATATTAACAAAAATATTATTAACAATAAACAAATGATTTCAATTTATAATAAAAATAAAACATTGTGAGTGTGAGAGCCAAAGAAGAAGAAGAAGATAGTTTTTTACTATTATCTCCAACTCTCCCGTGTGTATTACCGTTTATTTTTTGTACCGGTCGTTTGGTTGCCATGAAAATACGATGACGTTAACAAACGTCAATTGTTGGTGCACAAAAAAAGTCTGAATAAAACACGAAACAGCACAAAATTTTCTACCATCTTGGAAAAATAAATCGGAACAAAGTAATTTTTTTTTTGAAAAATCAGAAAAAATCAGTGATTATTTAATAAAATAAAAGCTTAAAATAATAAAACTCCAAAGGTTTCATAAATACTGGGTGACTCATACGAATTGAAGCCGTGATTTGACAAAATGCGGACAACTTAAAAAAGAGACACAAGAAGAAAGCACAGCAGCTGCATTTATCTACACTTCGCCCACGGTGAAAAATCCAGTTTTTCTATGGAAAATTTTCGACACCCAACTTCAATTCCATCCATAATACATGTCCTCGAAGAGAATGGTAATACAATAAATATGGCTTCGCCTGACCCTACCAACAACACAAACAACAATCACTTGAACACAATGGCAGCACGCCTACAGCCACCACCCACAACAGAAGACAAATCCACAACGACACAGACAAAATCCTCCGCCTTGGCGTCTTCGTCCCTCCAAACACCGGCATCAGTATCCTCCTCCAGATCTTGTTTGAGGCATGCAGATCACATCCTCCGCAACAAACAACAGCATCAGCTTCAGCATATCTACAGCAGTAGAAGAAGGAAATACCACCTGCCATTGCTGCCGCAACAACAAAATGTTCTAACAACATGTGTTGTGGCGTTAATAGCATTTTGTTTCACCTCTACTTTACCCGCCTATGTTTTATGCCACAAACAACAGCATCACAACAATCATCATTCCTCCTATGCTGCTGCTTTCGTTTCAAATCAAACAACCGCCTATGATTTAGAAAATGTTCTCCGCTTGAAACGTGATTCCGTATCGGCATTGTACTCGGGTAGCCTGCCATCCCAATCGTCTCGCGGCGTTCAATACTTTGTACAGCAAACCCACAACAACAATGTCAATTCCAATGAAAACTACACGGACAATCGTAAGCCAGCATTTAAAAACTGTGCCGGCTATAAGCCATCGGTTAAGGAAGAACAACCGGAAAATTCATTTGTGATTACGGTCAAGGCTGAAGATCCCGATCCGGGACAAGAAATCGTATATAATCTCGTTCAATCGGCTGCGGAGCGACCAAAATTTCGTATAAATCCCATATCGGGCGTTATTACAACCGAACACACATTCGATCGCGATGAACCGATTCATGAAAAAGCTGTCTACGTTACTGTCCAAGCCACCGACAATGGTCGTCCACCCTTGGATGATATTTGTACATTCAAAGTTACCATTGAGGATATTAACGATAATCCGCCGGTATTCAATAAGGCTCGTTATGATGAATCCATGTCGGAAGACATACAGGTGAGTTGACTTTTTTGTTATATTTTTATGTTTTGTGAGAATATTTTTTTGGTAGAAAATAAAATTAGGAAGACCTTTTCTTGGCCAATTATGCGGACCCCTGGATTACTGCTAATTGGTGTGGGAAAAGGTTCTCTTTGGGTTAATAAATTCGTAATGTGTTGAGGTAATTATGTTTAGATATGTGGTAGTTTAAAATTTTTTATTATTTTTAGAACGTTTATTATCTGGATGGTTTTTTCCAATGGATATATTTTGGGGCAAGTGTATATGAAATTTAGGATACCAGAGAAAAAACCAGAAATATGAAGATTCTGTTTATGTATATTTTGAGATCTCCATGTTTAAGTAGAGGAACAAGTTTGTTTTCAATGTTTCTTTTTTAAGGAAATCTACAATTAAAGAAAGAAAAATGGAAAACAGCTTCGAAAACCACTGTAGATAGAAGAACACCAAAGGTCCTTGTATGCTATTATATTTCCGAAATTTATGTCAGTGGCCATCGCTTATCTTTTGTAAGTCCTAAAAAACAGATTCAAAGACAATTCGAATTTTGAAAAAATGCCTGTATAGTGTAGTGTGCTCAAACATTTTTGACTCCGTTATGATATCCTAACAAACCAGACTACCTTCGCCCATCGAAAATTTTGTTTAACAATGTCGTGTTTCTTATTGTTTTTCTCTATTGTTTTTGTAGTAAATCTATTCTGAAATGATTCGAGTAGGTATCGAGTTAATTTAAAAACAATGCCCTAAAAAATTGAAAAATATGAGTTTTTTTATTTGATAAGATTTCTTCATTGAAATATAGAAATGTTACCATACCTTTCAATGATATGGAAATATGAATCAGTTTTAGTAACGAAAATATCTAGAATCTATTTTTTCGATATTTATGACCCAAATAAAATTACAGCTGTAATGGTTAATTTTTTCTTTCATTAGAACCATAAATATGATTATATATGTAGCAATTAAAAAATACCATAACGGAGTTTCCCAAATTATAAGATTATCGTTTTTTAAAGTAATCCTTTTTTATTAGGAATTTTGTGTGTTGGAAATTCTCTAATTGGGGAGAGTTTTTCTTAACAGGTAAAGAATATTGCGGCGTTTCCATAACTATAGAGTTGTTTCTATAAAAAAACATATTTTTCCTTCTTAATCTGGGAAATTCTTCGTAACAAAAAACATGTATTAACTTTATTCCAAGTACCTTACGGTCATAAGAACCATAAATACAAATACATAAATACGACGCAGGCAAATTAATAAAAAAATACTCTTGTATTTTGATTTAATCCTTTCTAATCCTATAGAAAACTAAATAGTCTTTAAATAAAAACTCAATTGTAGATATTCTAAAACCGGGAATGAATTCAGAATCATTTAAGAAAATTTCATAATAAACAGGATTTTGGAATAGGCGTTAAAGGAAAATTACCCTTTTCACTAACATATTAAGTTCATGCTTTATCATTTGAAGTAAAACTAAAATGCTGGTAGCTAGGTTTGGCAAAATCGAAATTTTTCTCTCTTACCTATGGCAGAATTCATTCAAAATCTCTAAAATTTAAAAGTTCTGTTACATGGATGTTATACATCTTTTGAACGCTTCTACCAAAAAGGCCCAAAACATCAAATTACAGCAGATTTGGTTTGAAATTAGGGCTATGCCTAAAGTGGACTTACGTTCCAATAAGCCCAAACGCCGATATATTTTTCACTTTTAATATCAAATAATAACAGTGTCTATGCAAAACTTCAAAATCTAAAAACTATCTGTAATAGTTCTATAGTACAGACAGACAGAATTTTTAGCTAATCGTGCATTTTTATAATTAATGGGGTTTCAAATATTTCAAGGAAATCCGGAGTTAGAAGTTTAATGTACTCTTAATATTATGGGACAATTTTTTTTATTAATTGATATTTCAGGTTTTAAATGGCCCAATATCTTTTCTTATAAATATGCCTATCTGGGTGCTACTATAATTTTGACCTTTGTGAAGACCTCGACACAAAAATTGTCACTCGATCTGTTCAGAATTTTTATACCCTCCACCTTGAAAAGGATGCTATATTAACTTTGCCATTCCGTTTGTAACATATCTAAATATTCGTCGTATACCCCATAAAGCATATATATTCATAATCCGCATAAAATTCTAAGTCGATTTAACGATGTCAGTTTGTCTGTCTATCTGTTGAAATCACATACAGCCCACATTATTTGACGTAGAGCTCAAAATTTGGCAGAACAATTTGAATTGTGCCTAGGATGATTGGTACTGAAAATAAAATATATCGGTCTACGTTTTTTGTATAGCCGCCATATAACGATATTCGGATTTTTTACGATTTTTCGTCACATTTTCCACGGATTTGTCTAAAAATTGGTATTTATAGTTCGCAATGGGTTCTAGCTCAGGTGGCTAAACATTGTGTGAATAGGTACACGTTTTTGTATAGCCCTCCTCCCCATATTCGCTATTTTGATGATTTTCGCGACATTTTTCCACGGGTTTGTCTAAGCTCCGGTGGCAGAACATTGATTATTTAGGTCCACGTTTTCCAATGGCACAAATGTGTTCTTTTGTGATATTTAAGAAAATTTGCTAGATGGGAATCCTTGAATCCTTGTCTATAGAGGTTCCCATTTTGGTATGACCCCCCCCCCTCATATGACGTCCTCAACCATTTTTTTTTGAAAAGTTTAACTGCATTATCCAAAAGGTCTAACTGTAGTTTGTAGTTTAAAGTGGAAAACGTTTGAAATTATCCAAAAGGTCTATCTGTAGTTTGTAGTTTAAAGTGGAACACGTTTGAATCCAGGTAATTTTGTATGAAAATATCTCTTTTAATCAAAGGTGAAGGTTATTGAAAGTTCGGCCGGCCGAACTTAATGTTTTTTACTTGTGGCATGTGCTAAATCAATCAATAATTCTGCTCTTACTTGTTAGGGGTTTTCTCTTGTGAATTCCATATTATTTTTTCACCTGAATATAGGTGGCTGAAGTTGTGTATTGACATTCTACTAATTTTAGAATTTTATTTATTTTTTCTTCAAAGGACACTTTTTTTTACGAATTTCCATTTTCCCAGAGAATAACTAACAAGAAAAAAAATGCTAATTTCCATTTTTAAAAATGTTGTGACCTTCAAACAAAAAAATTCCCAGAAATCCACAGGTGCTATGATCTTTTTTTCCCATGAAATAACCACCCGGATTCTGATACATTGCGTTCCAGCAGAAAATTCTTATCTTGTGCAACTAATTTCCGAATCAACAAAGGCATAATTCTCTTTTTTCATCAAGGGTAGTTTTTTCCTATTTTGTTTTAGTTTTCCACAATAAAATAACCCTGTGATGGATGATGATCGTTTATTATAAATTTTTCTTCCCCTAAGAAGGGTATTATTATGTTTGGTACTTTAATGGAAACCCCTGTGGTTGTGATTGATTAAATGAAAACTCTCATTGCTAGAGGAGGGAAATTGGCAACAAAAGCATCATGCAACAGATAGTAAGATGGACTTATCTTGTTAACAGTGTTTGAACTTAAATCTCATAAATCAATATTAGTGTTGTTTTTATTTTTCCTTGTCCATTCAGATGATTATATTTATGGAACTTTGTGTGAATGATTGTTGTTGAAAATGTAAACACACATTTCTGAAGCTATATTTTCTTATCTCAATGATTGATGGGTTCAAAAATAATAATGATTGGTTTTACATGATTATAAATATTCTACAAGGAGTGTTTAATTTGAATTGGCAAGTAAATTACAAGAATTTTTCATTTTTCATTAAAAAAATAGTTATTAATGGAAATTGTATTGAATGTAGCAAATAGAAACATACATTCTAAAATATTTTTTTTTACATTTTAAAATATATATTTTTGTAAATATATATATTTTTCAAAGATATTTATTTTGTACAATCGTGAATTTATCAAGAAATGTTTGTCAAGGATGACCATACTTATACATGTAGATAAAAAAAATAGGAATAACAAGTAAGAAAAAACATTAAATTCGGCCCATTCGGACCATTGGGTAAAGAAAACATTTTTATATAAAAGTTTCTGAATTCAAACGCGTTCCACTATAAACTACAAACTACAGATAGACCTTTTGGATAATTTCGAACGTGTTCCACTTTAAACTTTAATACCAGTAAGACCATTTGGATGATACTGTTAACCTTTTCAAAAAAAAAAAAAAACCATAAATTGGGTGGGACCATATCAAAACGGGAACCTCTATAGACAATTTTATACTTTGAGGATTGTCATCCACCAAATCTTCTTAAATACCAAATTTAAAATATGACTAGGATTATCAAAAATATTCAATGTTTCGCCACCGTAACTAGAACCCATTATGACCTGAAAAATACTAATTTTTAGAAAAATCCGTGGAAAAATGCGACAAATGTCATCAAAATATCGAGATGTACATGGGTGTTATACCAAAACCTGGACCTACACATACAACGGGGGTAGAACCTATTTTGACTTAAAAATACCAATTTTTAGACAATTCCGTGGACAAAATAGGCCCAAATCATCAAAATACCGAATATCGGGAGGTACCGTCATTTGGGGGCTATACAAAAATGTGGACCTATACGTACAATGTTTCGCCACTGGAGCTGGAACTCATTATAACCTGCAAACACCAATTTTTAGACAATTCCGTGAAAATATGTGGCGAAAATCATCAAAATATCGAATATCGGGAGGTACCGTTATATTGCGTTTATATCAAAACGTGGACCAACATATCTCATTTTCAATACCACTATCCTAGACGCAATACAAATTGTTGTGCCAAATTTTGAAACTCTACGTCAAATAATGTGGGCTGTATCGTGATTTCAATAGACAGACAGACGGAAATCGAAACTTTATGAATCTCTGAGGAATATTTAGAGGTATTGCAAACTGAACCTTTAATTTTTTGTTTCTTGCTATTCGTATCACTGTATGAATGGCGCCCATATAACGCAATTTGCAAATTTCAGAGATTATCATGATAGCCATTTTGTTGTTTTCACTTGTTACCCTCCAGGAAAAAAGACCTCGAAAGAAAGCTAGAATTCGGCATAAATTAACATTGCATTAACGTCTTCCAGAAGACGATAATATTCTCTCAAAATTAGCAATTACTCTTCATGTAAAGATTTGCTTTCAATTGTCAGATCTTTAACCAAACCTTTCGTATATTTTTGTGAATCACTGTATCCATAGCGTGCCACCTCAAATAACAAACAACAAATTGTTTACATTATTCCAATATAGCAATTTTCCACGAATTCTATTTCTATAGTTTTTTCTTCTCTTTTCTCATTTAAAGGTGGGTCACGTTTTTGGACATTTGAGCAGTGCAAATTTGTTTTTTTTTTCAAAGTGTTAGGAACATTATTCACCCTACATACACCTCAGGTGTTTTTGCCTGCGATGAGTCTTTTTTAAATACCACAATTTTATTTGAAAAGTTCACTTGCATTTACATCAATTAAGCCGCCTTCATGAAGGCAACTACTTCTGCTGGGAATTCGCAAGGTTTTTCTTTTCTTAGGCAAATTCGGTTCATATGGCTTCTTTGATTTTGGATGAGATCAGGAATATAAGAATTACGTTATATCCATCTCAGGTTCACAGAGTTTACAAAACTTCCGAATTCACCCTATATCCCACCTGCTCCTCTGTTGTTGTGTACATTTTCTGTGTTAAATCAATAAATCTGCAATAAAATCGGAAAGGATTGATATAAAAAAACTACATTTGATTTTGGAGAATTCAGTTGTATTATGTATGTATGTATTTTTGTGTGTTCTAAAAATTAAAGAATTCCGAGTAGGCATATTTCAACATATACATTAGAAGTGTATGTTGCTGAAAGCAAGTAAAAAAGAAGCTAAGTTCGGCCGGGCCGAACTTTTAATACCCTCCACCATATGGAAGGAACTTGAAATTTTTCAAAATAGAAAAAAAATCCGAAGACCACCACATAACTGAAAACTGTTATATGAGGACTATACGAAGACCTGCATTTGTCATAGGCTGTAGTACCCATTACGAACTTCAAATACGAAATTTGCAACAACTTCGGCGATTGATGTCGCAAAAATCATGAAAATACAGAATATCGGAAGGTGCCGTTAAAAGGGGGCTATACGAAGACGTGGACTTTGAATTTGAACCAATTCCAATGAATAATGTCTCCAAAATCATCAAAATACCGAATATTGGAAGGTATCGTTATATGGCGGCTATACGAAGGCGTGGACCTGCATATGTAATTTTTTGTCACAGGCTGTAGTACCCATTAAATGAAATTTTAAATAATTCCTATAAAAATATCGCTAACAACATCAAAATACCAAATATTGGCAGGTATCGTTATATGTGGGCTATAAGAAAACGTGGACCGACATGACCCATTTTCAAACATGTGTGCAATATTTTAGCATTTTATCTCGATTCGAAAGATATCGTGATTACAATAGACAGGCGGAAATACAGACATACGAACATTGCTAAATCGTCTTAGAATTTTACGCTGATCCAGAATACAAATACTTTGTAGGGTCCATCTTGAAAATTTCAGGGAGTTACAAACGGAATGACAAAGCCAATATACCCTCCATAGGAATGGTGGGAGGTATAAAAATCTATCGATCTCTGTAGATAGAGCTTTGAATATTCTATCTATAACAGACCTTTTGGGCGTCGTCTTTAACTGCAAGACCTCCGTGAAGTCTTCTGCAGTTTTAACACCCATTAAATGTGGGTGTGGAATCCTACCGGATTTCTGTAGCTTCCTACCTTTTACTGGGTAGTGTAAATAAATTTCCATCCAATTTCGCATTCTCCTTTGTTCCAACATTCCAATTGAGTTCACTGCACTCACTCACAATAAAGCTCGCTTGGGCGCACAACAGTTTGGACGGCGAAAACACAGAAGAACCTTGAAACCCTTTAGTTAAATGCCCTAATACTGTTAGTTTTTATTACGTATCTTTCTCGCCCACCACAAGCGTTGCCGTGCAATCAACTGGCATGTAGGAAAGTCGACTTATTAGACTGTTAGACCTCTTCTTAAGAAATAGATAAGTTTCACTTGAACGGACGTGACACGGTATTATTAGCAACGCAACAAAAAAAGAAAACGCTAAGCAAAAAAGAAAATCAATACATTTGAAAAACGAAAAGAAAACGGGGAAAACAACAAACAAAAGTTGATGCAAAGGAAAGTAAAATGTGTTGGATGTGGTTTATTTTGATAGTAAGTTGAACCAGACTTCGCCTAGGAGGGTGGCTTCACTCATAGTAAAATAGGGGTTTAAGAAGTATATTTTCCTATTTCGCAATTTTAAGTTTAAAATACTAATTTTTCGATAATTTGATAGCCTGTAAAACTACACGTCGCTTGAGAGAGAGGTTACTCCCAGAGAAAAATAGACCTTTTAAGAGTTATAATCTTCTATTTTTTATTTAACTTTTTATTTAATTACAATTTACTAAAATTCCAATTTTTTATTTCTATCTTTCCAGCCCAATGCAGCTGTAATGCGCATATCGGCCAGCGACTTGGACGATGGCAACAACAGTATTATCGAATATGAAATTTTGCAGGAACGCGATTACAGCTACTTTAAAATTGACAAGACAGCTGGTATTATTTCCCTTTCCCGTCCAATCGATCGTAAGCCTGGCATCACCTACACCATAACGGTAAGAGCCTATAATATTGTACCAGATCCTCCACAAGATGCCCAAATCGAAGTGCGCATACGTGTCGTCGAATCGTCCAAGAAACCGCCAATGTTCATTGAGTTGGGCGACGATGTTATTTACCTGAAGGAAGATTTCAACAATTACTCGGCGCCCATTGTTACACTGAAAGCCGTCTCCAATGTGCCAGATAAGCCGGAAGTTATATTCGAATTAATTACCGGACGAACGGAGCAAACGAATAGCAAGAAAACATTTGTATTCAATCAAATCAAAAACAATACGGTGACAATTAGTTTGGGTAAATCGTTGGATTATGAGTCCGTCACGGACTACACTTTGACCATGAGTGCCCGCAATATCTATGATTTGGTGGCGGAACATGTTCTCAAAATCAGGGTGGAAGATGTCAATGATAATATACCGTATTTTACGGAAGTGAAGGCCGGTACTATTTTGGAAAATGAACCGGCCGGTACACCGGTTATGCAGGTTCGTGCCTTTGACATGGATGGCACGGAGGCCAATAATATTGTCTCTTTCGAATTGGCTGATAATACGGATTTCTTTGCAATTGATCCCCAGACGGGTAACATTACCGCACTGACGTCCTTCGATCGTGAAGCCAGAGATTTCTATAATGTCAAAGTCATTGCCAGTGATAACTCACCCTCCTCGTTGATAAAGAACGGCGAACCCAATCGTGGCCACCAGGTGTTTCGCATTGAAATTGCCGACAAGAATGACCACGAACCGCATTTTGAAATGCGTGAATATGTGGCCGACAAACTGCCCGAAGATGCCAACATTAATTTCATTGTCATTGAGGTGACGGCCGAGGATGAAGATAATGCCTCGCAAATCAAATACACCATTGAAAGTGGCAATGTGGGCAATGCCTTTAAAATTGAAGAGTTAACGGGCAAGATCACCGTCAACTCGAGATTGGATTATGAAAACATCACCGAATACATGCTGCAGATCAGGGCATTCGATGGCATCTATGATGATTACACCACGGTAATTGTAAAACTGGAAGATGTCAATGACAATCCGCCCATGTTCAAGGAAAACTATTCAATAACCATACGCGAAGAGCAGACCTTTGATCATTGCATTTTGAACATTGAGGCCTATGATCCGGACATCAAGGATCGCAATGCAGATCAGCATATCAAATATTTTGTGGTAAAAGATGAGCACAAGAAAATGTTGAGCATTGATGACAATGGTTGTTTGAAGCTGATACAGCCATTGGATCGCGATTTGCCTAATGGTCACAAGTCATGGCAGGTGCTCATAGCGGCCGTGGATGAAGATGGTGCGGGTTTGAAGCTAATTACTCCCGTCACAATCAATCTGCAAGACATCAACGACAATGCTCCCTTCTTGGTCAATAAAATGCCCGTCATTTGGCAAGAGAATCGCAATCCCGGACAAGTCGTCCAGCTGCAGGCCAATGATTATGATGAACCTCAAAATGGACCACCCTTTACCTTTGGCATTGATTCCGAAGCCTCAATGGACATTAAGAATAAATTTAGTATTGACAACGACTACCTCTTTGCCAATGTCCAGTTTGATCGTGAACAGCAAAAGGAATATTTCATACCGATACGCATCAGTGATTCGGGCCAGCCCAAAATGAGTCAAGTAAGCATTTTGCATTTGATTATTGGTGATGTCAACGACAATGCCATGTCGGAGGGTTCGTCCCGCATCACCTTCTACAATTACAAGGGTGAAGCTCCGGACACCGAGATTGGTCGGGTATTTGTTGACGACTTGGATGACTGGGATTTGGATGACAAACAATTCCAATGGGCCCAGGGTATACCCCATGATTATTTCCGTTTGAATCCCAGTTCTGGCATGATAACCTATTTGGAGGGCACGCCAGGTGGTACTTATGAACTGCAGTTTGTGGTCACGGAAGAATCGACATTTATACCACGCCACTCGGTGGATGCCGATGTGACGGTGGTGGTGCGCGAATTGCCCGAAGAGGCTGTGGACAAAAGCGGTAGCATACGTTTCTTTAATGTAACCAAAGAAGATTTCATTAGTGTACCTCGCGATGCCCAGGGAGATAGTGCTCTGTCGCTCAAAGATCGCCTACAGTTCTATTTGGCCCGTTTGTTCAATACCTCGGTGGAAAATGTTGACGTATTCACGGTATTGCAAAATGCCAACAACACCTTGGATGTCCGTTTCTCGGCCCATGGCTCACCGTATTACGCCCCGGAGAAACTCAATGGTATTGTGGCCCAACATCAAATGGAATTGGAAAATGAATTGGACTTGCAAATTCTGATGGTCAACATTGACGAGTGTCTCATTGAGAAGTACAAATGTGAAAGTTCCTGTACCAATACGCTGCACAAGTCATCTGTGCCGTATATGATCTACTCGAATACTACCTCGTTTGTGGGTGTGAATGCCTTCATTGAGGCCCAGTGTGTTTGTGAGGTCAAGGGCCGGCAGTATTGTCTGAATGGTGGCACACCCAAGATTGGTGAGGATGATGCCTGCGACTGTATAGACGGATTTACGGGACCCCATTGTGAGTTGGTTTCGGTGGGTTTCTATGGCAATGGTTATGCCTTCTATGAACCCATATCGGCCTGTGATAATACCCGCATTAGCTTGGAGATTGCACCTCAAACCGATCATGGTTTGATTATGTACTTGGGACCCATCAATTACAATCCCCTGTTGCCGTTGTCGGACTTTCTGGCTTTGGAATTGGTCAAGGGTTATCCGGTGTTGACGGTGGATTATGGTTCGGGCGCCGTGCGCATTGATCATCGCCATATACAACTGCAGGCAGGCAAATCATATCAACTGGACATTGTGCTGCAGAGGTCAAGCATTGAAATGACGGTGGACAATTGCCGTTTATCGACCTGCATGAGTTTGGGTGCACCGCAGGGTCCCAATGAGTTTTTGAATGTTAATTCTCCGCTGCAATTGGGTGGCACTCCTGTGGATTTGGTGAATTTGGGCCATCAGCTGAACTGGACCTATATTCCGGGTCAGCAGGGATTCTTTGGTTGCATTAAAAATCTGACCATCAATGAGCATACCTACAATCTGGGAACACCAGCTGTGTTCCGAAATGTGGATTCCGGATGTCAGAGAGCGGTGGCCGTGGCCGTTACCTTGGGTATAAATCGCAATTTCCTGATTGCCATAATATCGTGCATAGTTCTACTGCTTATAATTCTGCTGGCTGTGGTGGTGCAGAAGAAACAGAAGAATGGCTGGCATGAAAAGGACATTGATGACATACGCGAAACCATCATCAATTACGAGGATGAAGGTGGCGGCGAACGTGATACCGATTATGATTTGAATGTTTTGCGTACCACGCAACCGTATTATGGCGAAACGCTCTACAAAGATCCGCATAGTTTACATGCCATGCCAACCAGCCAACCGCAGGAGATACCGGACATTGGTGGTTTCCTGGGCGATAAAAAGGAGAATTGTGATCGTGAAATACTCTCCTTCCCCGTGGACGATGTACGACACTATGCCTATGAGGGTGATGGCAATTCGGATGGTTCACTCTCCTCGCTGGCCTCCTGTACAGATGATGGTGATCTCAATTTTGATTATCTGTCCAACTTTGGGCCGCGTTTCCGTAAATTGGCTGATATGTATGGTGAAGAGCCATCCGATACAGATTCAAATGTTGATGACGATCAGGGTTGGCGCATCTGAGCGCAATTGACGAGAAGAGGAAGACACCAAGATACGAAAACGAAACATGAGTAACGAAAGAATGAAAGAAAAAAAGACAAAGATACACACGCAGACACATAGCTTGCAATATATGTTTCCCCCTCCACATAGAACAAAACGAACGAAATGAAATGACAAGAAAAATAGAAGAACAGAAACAATAGACAAAACACAAAATGTAATTAAGGAATTGATTGATCTTCCAAACGAAACAAAGCAAGATGAGTAATTTATGATGTACAGACATATCTTAGAAGACAAATGTGTAATTTAAAATATCGACAGTAGGAAAGAAAGAAAAATAGAAAACGAAAACAAAAAGACTTGATAACGAGTGGGAGCTTTGCTCCCAAACTCAAATGTATTGCTGTACTCTAAAAAAAAACGAAACAGAAACTATTGAACACAGTATGTCTTTCTTCTGCAAAAGAAACAATGTATAAACAATTTATTTTTTTTTTTGGTTTAATTTTTATTTAATTTTTTTTTTCAATATTTATAAGAGTAAATAGAAATTATTTTTTTTTTGTTTTTTTTTTATGAACTACACAGAAAAGTGATTTTTTATAATTTAAAAGAAAAACACGTTTATTAATGAAATAAATTTAGGTGATTTATTTTTATAAGAAGCCCCTAAAAGTAAAATAAAGAAAAGAAAACTAAAGTAAATTACAATAAGTTAACCCAAACAAAAGGCATTAATAAATTAATTAATTATTGTTAACTATATTTTTTGATAAAATGTGGATTCAATGATAGACATGGAAGAAAATATATTTTTTATTTTTTACAAACCATAGCATTTATAATTACAAATATAAAAAAATGAGAAAATTCCATTTAATTAGTTAAACAATATATAAAGACAGCGTTTGATGTGCTACCTATTCTCAAGTTTCATTTCTGTTGATAATTTCCGATTCAATTCCATCCTCCCAAAACAAGAAAATGTCCATGAATTTCAAGTTTCCTTCACTACTCTCTTACCTTTTAAATTTCCACAAATGTCAAGCGAATATTAAATTTACTTTAGTTTATATTTAACAATAAATATATATTTAATCTAAAAAAAAACCACCCACATCTTCTGTAAATTTACTGTTCTTAAAAATCATTTTTCTTTTAATTTAACTTAATTATTATTATTATATATTTTAATAATAGCTTAACTTACATCCCAATAAATCTAAAATATGAAATGAAATTATATTTCAAAGGAAAACCCTAAAAAACGAAATCATAAACAATGTTAGTAATACTTACCTATCTCTATATATAAAAACAACAACAAAAAACACCCATCTCTATAAATATACATACATTTATATATAGTATATATCCTAACATAAATGTATTTTGCTAAGTTTATTATTAAATTATAGTTTTATTTTTACATGCCAATCAAAAACAAACAAAACAAAAAGCGAAAACGAAAAAAAATCAATAAAACAAAATTTTTAAAATTTACAAAAAAAAAAAACAATTTTTTTTCGATTTGAAAGAAATTTGAAATGTAGTAAGTATTTTGGTGATTTGAAAAAAATCGTATTTCAATTGTAAATTTTTCAAATAATATTTTTTAACCAGTAACAGGTTAATGAAACATGGATTTTTTTTAAAGAATATTTGTACCAAGCCTCAGACCATCAATCGTTTAAATATTTTATATATTTTATTAGATATTTTTCACCTACCCTTTGACCAAAAAACGTAGATTTTTCAAAGACTTTTTCCCCTACCTTCATCATGATATGTGGATTTTTAAAAACTATTTTTTCAAAGACCATCAGCACCAAAAACGTGAATTTTTATGGAGTATTTTGTCACCGACCATAAAACGAGAATTTTTACTCTATCCTCAGACTATGGAATGTGGAGTTTGTACAGCATATTATTTCACCGACCCCCTCAGAACGTGAGATGTGGATTTTTTAAAGAATATTTTTCTTCGACCCTCAGACTATAAAACACAGATTTTTTTAAGAATATTTTTTCTCCGGCCCTCAGACCATGAAACGACTTTTTAAGAATATTTTTCAAAGGCAATCACACCAACATTTGTGAATTTTTAAAGAATATTAACATAATAATAACAGCCAGACCACGAAACGCGGATTTTTTAAGAATATTTTTTCTAGAGAACCCCAGGCCAGGAAATGTGGATTTTTAATAGATTATTTTTCAAAGACATTCGGGCTATGAAATTAGGAATTTTTAATGAATAGTTTTCCAAAATTCTTCAGGTCATGAAGTTGGCTATTGAAAATGGAGCATTTAACTGTACCGCCTAATTACAGGGTGAGATGAAAAAACTGCAACCAAATTCAAACTGTCATTTCTAAGCCACTCGTCCGACAGCTGTTAAAATTATTCCACAAAAGCATTTTGGTGAGAATTTTCCAAAAAAAAAGTTATTCGTGATGGAATTTAAGCGTGATAGTGTGATTTCTTTATATTTGGCTGGAAAACCACAAGTGGCTATCGTTGGAGCACTCCAGCATTTAAATGTGAATGAATCTTTTGTGTCTCGTACCATCGCTCGTTACCGTGATACTGCTAGCGTAGGAAGTGGACGGAAGAAAACAGCCACGTCAGCAAAAATGGTTCAAAAAGTAAAGAAGAGACTTGATCGAAACCCGTGCCGCAGTGGCCGAGCTCGTGAGCTGAACATATCGCAATATTCCATTTGGCAAATATTGAAAAATGAGCTTACCCCGAACCATTGAAATTCCAAAAAGTGCAAGAACTTACACCGCAACAGAAAGAAAATATACTTAAAAGAGCTAAAGAGTTGCTTCGAAAGTGGTGAACTGCCGAAATTGGTTTTCTCCGATGGGGAAAACATTCGTTGTCCAGCAGTTTGTAAACAAACAAAATGATCGTGTTTACTTGCCAAAGAGGTCAGCTGAAAATGTGCACCTTCGGTTGGCCACTAGACACCAGAACTCAAGCGCCGGCCATGGTGATGGTATGGGCCGCCATAACAGCCGATGGTCGCTCTCCGCTCGTTTTAGTCGACCGTGGCATCAAAATAAATGCCGAATGTTATCGCGAAAATATTCTTGAGGGTGTATTAAAGCCTTGGGCACGCAAACATTTTGGCCGCAGGCCTTGGACATTCCAAGAGGACTCAGCAAAATCGCACTCAGTGCGCGCCACCCGAAAATGGTTACACGATTAGGTTCCTCGTTTCATTTCCAGCGCACAATGGTCACCAAAATCTCCGGAACCAATCCGTTGGACTGCTGTATCTGCAGTTTTTTGGAAAGCAAGGTTGGCACTAAAAAATACCAAAGTGTTGATCACCTCAAGCAAGCGCTTCGCCGGAAATTTGGACAGCGTGTGACGGTTACATTGGCCGTCTGAAGGTCACAATTTGTGCCAACAAATCTAAACTTATTCTAAAATTTGATGCTATTCCCGATATTTTTTGCTTTCATTCAATAAAAATGAAAAAAATGTAAAAATTATGGCGTTTGACTTCGTTGCAGTTTTTTTTATCTTACCATGTACAACAATATCGCCTAATTATACCCTCCTCCTTAGAAAGGAGGGTACATAAAATTTGTCATTTCGTTTCTAACACATTTAAATATTCGTCGTAGACCCCATAAATAGTATTTATTCATGATCGGCATAAAATTCCAAGTCGATGTCAGCCTTTCGCGATACAGTCCACATTATTTGTTGTCGAACTTTGAAATTTGGCGCAATGATTTGTATTGGAAATTAAAAATGAGGTATATCGGTGAACGTTTTCGTGATTGGTCTTTTCCGATATCCTGGATTTTTATTTCTAATCACATTTTTCCACATTTGGTATTTAGAGTTTGTAACGGGTTCTACCTCTGGTGACTGAACCCATATGACGGCGGTACCTTCCGATATTCGCTATTTTGACGATTTAATTAAAAGTTTGTATGTGTAGTTCGTAATGGGTTCCAGTTTCGGTGGAAGAACATTCTGCATATAGGTACACGTTTTCCTATAGCGCCCATATAACGGTACCTCCCGATATTTGGTATTTTTACGAGTTAGGCTAGATTTTCTATCGGATTTGTTTCAAATTCAGTATTTGTAGTTGTGGGTTCCACCAACGGTGTCAACATATTGTTCATATTGGTCAAAGATTTCTATATAAAGGTAGCCATCAATATTCGGTATTTTTATGATCCTATCCACGTTTTTCACGGTATAATGTATTTCGCATTTATGATTCGCAATCGATTCTTGCAGTAGAAAATGGTTGCGATTCCACCTACTTTATTTTATTTTAATACTTTAACCGATTTCTTCAACCGATCTCACTGGTATTTGCAGTTTAAGGAACTTCCAAATGTAAGGGATTTTAAAGATATGCGATTTGACCATAAGTCAAGTTTTTACATGGTGTGGGGGGATACTGTCGCCGCTTTTACATATTGTAAAAAATATTTTTTTTTTTCGAAATTTATTTGAGTTTCCTGCTGCAGAGCACCTTTTGACCTATAGCCAACACACATTGTTATCAATGTACCGTTAAAACATATGTTTGCACTTGCAATGGTTCCATCATCGTTCCCCCCCAAAATCCGCTGATCGGATGCTTTCGGAATGCATGACATATTTCATATTTTCCATGCAAGTCCGGGTGTATGTGTGTCGCATTTTCCCATTCCTGGTCTATTTGTGTGTATGTTTGACCCAATTCAATTCCCGTTTAAAGTAAATTATAACGAAACGAAGTAGGTATAAAAAATATTTCGCTGTTGTTGTTGTAATTTATGACATTTTTCATTAGTCTGCCTTTTGGATTGTTGTTGTTGTTGCTGCAACAGTAGTAATATTATTTTTTTTTGTTTTGAGGGGGGGATGTCAACATTGCGTTATATACAAACATTTCATGATTACATTGTTGTATTTATTTATACATTACACGTTTTTGTTGTCTGCCCGCTCAGCCGTGGGCTATCTATTTGGGTATGTCTTGGTTTGAGTTTTCGTTGTTGTTGTCGTGTTTTTGTGAGTTCAAATTGAAACCTACTTTTACAATTGATAACCGACTGGCTGGCAGACAGACAGCCAGCCATCGAACGTTATCTTCCCAACCCCCCTTCACAAACGGCAACGCGGAACAGTTAGTCAATATTGATCCCTGGAGAGAACTGCCGTTAAAATGAGGCAATGAAATATTTGGCGCACAAAACGACCACAAAGTAGGTATTCAGAATGAGTTCGATTACAGTTTTAAAAATTGTAGTGGTCTTTCGAATTATCGCTGAATTACTGTGCTGGGGCACAGTGTAACGAAAACAAGTAAAAAATGGCTAAACATTTAATGCCCTCCACGATTTGGAGCGAATTTAAAAAATGTCAAAAAAAAACCGTTAACAAATTCTGTTAAAATCTTAAAAATACCGAATATAGCCGCAATATTGCCTAAACAAACATGTGGACCTGCATAGACAACTTTTGTCATAAGCCATTACAATATTCAAATACGAAGGTAGAAAAAAAGATCAGGTTAATAATAAAGCTAAAATCATCAAAATACCGAATAGAGGTACCGTTATATCGGACAATACGAAGACCTGGATCTGCATAGACAATTTTCTGTTATAGGCTGTAGTACCTATTAGGAACTTCAAATGCGAAATTTCAAACAATTTTGTTGAATATTGTACCTAAAATCTTCAAAATACCGAATATAGGGAGGTACTGATATATGGGGCCTATACGAAGACCTGGATCTGGATAGAAAATTTTCATTCATAGAGTGTAGTACCCACTACGAATTCTAAATTCGAAATTTGAAACAACTCCGGTGAATAATGTCCCTAAAATCGTCAAAAATATCGGGAGGTACCGTTGTATGTGGGATATACGATATTGTGGACCTATATGGACATTTCTCTTTCAGGGGGTAAAGTGCTTAGAAAGAACTGCTAGTGTGGATTTTTAGACAATTCTATTGAAAAATGTAGCTAAAATCATCCAAATACCAAATGTAGGGAGGTTCCGTTATATGGGGGATGTACGATATCGTGGACCTATATTGACAATACTCTTCCAAGGAGTAAAGTACTCACAAGGAT